CGATTCCGTTTTACTGGCGCGACGTGTGTCGTTTTACCCTTATTTCCCATCTCATCTTTCTCAAACGACCGAATTAAACGGCTCGGGAAAAGAGCCGAGTGATTTCGAAAAACGACCATCGAGGATATATATATATATATATGTATATATACACATATATATTATTTCTATAAATAAATCGCTATTAAGATTCAATTCATTTATATAAAACAGACGCGTGTGCATTCTTTTTTACATTTAGCAGCTCCAATACTTACGTGTGAATGGAACTTTGTTGCGTCTTAGCATGAGGATCCGAAGAACCTACATACTGTCGCCTAGCTTGCGCTCTGTCTTGATAACCCGTAGCTAATTGACTATTAGACACATTGTCCTTTTCAATTCCGAATTTATGTTTCAGACGTCGCAATTCTTCCTTATAAAGTTTCGTCTTCGAAGCTTTATTTTCATTGAGATTGATGTTTTGCTGAACAAGACCTGGTTCACAATAACCACACGTTTCATTTCCATTATGAATATGGCATAATAATTTCGTCCCGCCAATTTTTATAATTGACCCATGCATTATTTCATGAGGTTCAGATTCTTGCTTAGCTACTGACAATCTTTTGCCATTTATAAATGTACCATTTCTTGAACCAGAATCTATCACTTGATACTGCTTCTTGATTTCGTCGTACACAAAACGTGCATGATACTACAAGTACATACAATTATAACACGAATATTGTGATAAAATGTAAATTTTGAACTTTTCTCTTTTTCGTTACCTTGCTAATATTTATATCTGGTATCAGCACCGAATGATCTCCTTCTCGCCCTAATGTACCTCCTATACATGTTACGAGGAAAAGGGAGCCTAGCTTTAATTTTATTAAATCTGTTTCCTTAACAATAATTCTCATACATGGTGGATAATTTTTTGCTAAATCTAAAATAAAAATGATTTCTTGATTTGAAATTTATATATACCAAAGGAAACAAGAACAACATTTGAGACTTTAATCGGATCTACATAGCATTACGTAGTCATAAGTCGCAAAATTAGAACTTAACCTAACGTATTTCAAGTCAAATAGACAAGACGCAGAATGCAGAACGAACATAAAAAAATAACCGAGTTGTAAATGAATTTTTTTTACATTTAAGTCACAGTGTAATAAAATGAATTAAAAAATTTCACTTTAATAAAGTTTTTTGTACGAGTCTATTAAATTGCACAGATGTTCAGATTTTCTGATAAATTTAGATTTTATGTGCTCTGCGTTCTTATAAAAGCAATTGAGAAATTTCTTTATTAATCCCTTTCAAAGTTTAAAATATGATTATTATTATCATTAAATGCTGTTATTTTAAAATTAATATTAATATAAAAAATATATATTTTAATTTTTTAATATGTTATATATATATTACAATATCCACATAACAACATAAAAAACAATGTTAAGAAAAATTAAATGCAAAAATAACAAATGCAAAATAAACCTTGTTCTTCATCATCACTTTCGCTATTAGTAGATACATCAGGGATTATTTCATCAGAAATGCCATCACTTTCACTTCCTGAGCATTCGCCCTCTTCAAGTACTTTATCCCCCAAATTTTCTTCTTCACTTATAAATTTTCGTTTTTTCACGTCATCCTACAAGAGAGACATATTCAATCAAAATAATTACCTAAAGCTTGTTGCTTGTATCTTTCAATCGTTATATTTGAAACATCCTTTATTAATTCATCTATTTCATTCAAAACCTGTAATTCAAAACAAAATTTTAAATATTTTCTCACAAAATTTGATATCTAAAAATATAGAAATGTTTTAAAAATTGTAATTGGTACCTTATGTGTTTTTCCAGTTTCTTCCTTCCTTTGGAAAGTTGTTTTGCCCGTATAGACTTGACTGTGGAATTGATACGTATTACTAGTTTCATCATAGTAATAATATATTCCAGTGTTTCCATCATAATATAAACCTTGCTTCTAAAATAATAATAAATTTGTAAGCTTGTCATCTTTACATACATACACACACACACATACATATGCGCACGTGCGCACTTATTTTATAGACACATATATGGAAATATATATGCATGTTATATAAAGTTCATCAAGCAATATATACACATACTGTATCATAATAATATCCAGTATTATAATCATAATACATTCCTGATGTCTGCTCGTAAACAAAACCAGTCTGCAATAAAGCTGATTCTGCTACTTCCTTTACTTGATCTACTATACTGGATGACTTAACATTATGACTAACATTCCAATCTTGCGATAAAGATTTATTAAAATCTAAAGAATTCGTCTGGGTCCCACAGTGTATATATGATTTTGTATAGAGCAAATTTTGTTGTTTCTGTGAAAGACAACATATGATTTATATTAATGAAGTAAATAAAAAAAGAAGACGAGAATATGAGGAAAGAACAAAAAAGAAATATTTGTACATATAA